AAGATGCTTTTGAAATTACACACATTTATGTTCATGGAAGATTTTCTTGAAAACCATCCCGTCTACAAGGAATTTTTGTTGAAGATGAGCAACTTTTACGTGTGGGTGTCTTACATTTAACAACTTTTATTTAAGAGATTAAATTGTTATAGTAGATTTCATGTTTTAAAGACAGACTAGACTTTTCATGTTTATAGACTAGACTATAGACCTAGACTATAGACTAGACTATAGACTAGACTAAAGACTAGACTATAGACTAGACTAAACTATAGACTAGACTATAGACTATAGACAATAGATTAGATTAGACTATACTAGACATAGACCTAGACTATAGACTAGACTATAGACTAGAGCTATAGACTAGACTATAGACTAGACTATAGACTAGACTATAGACTAGACAATAGACTAGACTATAGACTGGGACTATAGACAAGACTATAGACTAGACTATAGACTAGACTATAGACTAGACTATAGACTAGACTATAGACTGGACTATAGACAGACTATAGACTAGACTATAGACTAGACTAGACTATAGACTAGACTATAGACTAGACTATAGACTAGACTATAGACTAGACTATAGACTAGACTATAGACTAGACTATAGACTAGACTATAGACTAGACTATAGACTAGACTATAGACTAGACTATAGACTAGACTATAGACTAGACTATAGACTAGACTATAGACTAGACTATAGACTAGACTATAGACTAGACTATAGACTAGACTATAGACTAGACTATAGACTAGACTATAGACTAGACTATAGACTAGACTATAGACTAGACTATAGACTAGACTATAGACTAGACTATAGACTAGACTATAGACTAGACTATAGACTAGACTATAGACTAGACTATAGACTAGACTATAGACTAGACTATAGACTAGACTATAGACTAGACTATAGACTAGACTATAGACTAGACTATAGACTAGACTATAGACTAGACTATAGACTAGACTATAGACTAGACTATAGACTAGACTATAGACTAGACTATAGACTAGACTATAGACTAGACTATAGACTAGACTATAGACTAGACTATAGACTAGACTATAGACTAGACTATAGACTAGACTATAGACTAGAACTATAGACTAGACTATAGACTAGACTATAGACTAGACTATAGACTAGACTATAGACTAGACTATAGACTAGACTATAGACTAGACTATAGACTAGACTATAGACTAGACTATAGACTAGACTATAGACTAGACTATAGACTAGACTATAGACTAGACTATAGACTAGACTATAGACTAGACTATAGACTAGACTATAGACTAGACTATAGACTAGACTATAGACTAGACTATAGACTAGACTATAGACTAGACTATAGACTAGACTATAGACTAGACTATAGACTAGACTATAGACTAGACTATAGACTAGACTATAGACTAGACTATAGACTAGACTTAGACTAGACTATAGACTAGACTATAGACTAGACTATAGACTAGACTATAGACTAGACTATAGACTAGACTATAGACTAGACTATAGACTAGGACTATAGACTAAACCAGATTATCTATCAATCTGAATATAGACTTAACTTTAGAGCAAACTAAAGACATAAGTCTAGAATAAAGACTTTAGTCCATACTATAGACTAGTAAATTTTGCAGACTATAGCAATACTCCAGATTTCATTCAAAAACATAGACAAAGCTATAGTCTAGACTACGGGCATGTTTATAGTTCAGACTATAATTCAAAAGCAAATACTACTTGAGCTCTGTACATGATTCTATGTGCTGACCAATGCTTGCAACAAGATATCCTTGTAAAATACTAATTTATAAACATTTCTACAAACAAAGGTGAAAAATAAGGCAAAAAAAAAAAACACAAATTCATTTTCAACAATATCAAGTAATGAAAAATTTTATATAGAAAATGAAAATACTCTCAACTTCATCTCTAGTTCTTTAATCCATTGTTGAGCTCACTGGGTTATTAGTTAAATAAAAACAAATAATCTATTTCTATTAAAAACATAAAAATATACATACACACAAGGTTTTACGTTTTCTTTAGAAAAATATCTTACTATTTAGTTTTTTTACTGAAAAGTTTTTAATTTCATAAATCCATATCTATTGTTTGAGAAAGTAACAAAAACAACGAGAAAATACTAGAACTAAAAAAAAAACAACAAAAAAGATGCTTTTGAAATTACACACATTTATGTTCATGGAAGATATTCTTGAAAACCATCCAGTCTACAAGGATATTTTGTTGAAGATGAGCAACTTTTACGTGTGTGTGTCTTACATTTAATAACTTTTAGTTAAGAGATTAAATTGTTATAGTAGATTTTCATGTTTAAAGCTGGCTGTTGCTCAAAAGCGTATAAAGACTAGACTATAGACTAGACTAGACTAGACTAAAGACTAGACTATAGACTAGACTATAGACTAGACTATAGACTAGACTATAGACTAGACTATAGGACTAGACTATAGACTAGACTATAGACTATAGACTAGACTATAGACTAGACTATAGACTAGACTATAGACTAGACTATAGACTAGACTATAGACTAGACTATAGACTAGACTATAGACTAGACTATAGACTAGACTATAGACTAGACTATAGACTAAACTATAGACTAGACTATAGACTAGACTATAGACTAGACTATAGACTAGACTATAGACTAGACTATAGACTAGACTATAGACTAGACTATAGACTAGACTATAGACTAGACTATAGACTAGACTATAGACTAGACTATAGACTAGACTATAGACTAGACTATAGACTAGACTATAGACTAGACTATAGGACTAGACTATAGACTAGACTATAGACTAGACTATAGACTAGACTATAGACTAGACTATAGACTAGACTATAGACTAGACTATAGACTAGACTATAGACTAGACTATAGACTAGACTATAGACTAGACTATAGACTAGACTATAGACTAGACTATAGACTAGACTATATACTAGGGCTATAGACTAGACTATAGACTAGACTATAGACTAGACTATAGACTAGACTATAGACTAAACTATAGACTAGACTATAGACTAGACTATAGACTAGACTATAGACTAGACTATAGACTAGACTATAGACTAGACTATAGACTAGGACTATAGACTAGACTATAGACTAAACTATAGACTAGACTATAGACTAGACTATAGACTAGACTATAGACTAGACTATAGACTAGACTATAGACTAGACTATAGACTAGACTATAGACTAGACTATAGACTAGACTATAGACTAGACTATAGACTAGACTATAGACTAGACTATAGACTAGACTATAGACTAGACTATAGACTAGACTATAGACTAGACTATAGACCTAGACTATAGACTAGACTATATACTAGGCTATAGACTGATAGACTAGACTAAGACTAGACTATAGACTAGACTATAGACTAGACTATAGGCTAGACTATAGACTAGACTATAGACTAGACTATAGACTATAGACTATAGACTAGACTATAGACTAGACTATAGACTAGACTATAGACTAGACTATAGACTAGACTAAGACTAGACTATATACTAGGCTATAGACTAGACTATTAGACTAGACTATAGACTAGACTATAGACTAGACTATAGACTAAACTATAGACAGACTATAGACTAGACTATAGACTAGACTATAGACTAGACTATAGACTAGACTATAGACTAGACTATAGACTAGACTATAGACTAGACTATAGACTAGTCTATAGTCTAGTCTCTAGTCTAGTCTATAGTTTAGTCTATAGTCTAGTCTATAGTCTAGTCTATAGTCTAGTCTATAGTCTAGTCTATAGCCTAGTATATAGTCTAGTCTATAGTCTAGTCTATAGTCTAGTCTATAGTCTAGTCTATACTATATGCCAAAACGATACATAGACTATGGACTGGACTATAGACTAGAATATAGTTCTAATATTGAATAGACTTAGTTCAGACTATAGACTATATTCCAGTCTATAGATCTAGTCTATAGTTCAGACTATAGATTAGACTTAAGTTCAGATTATAGACTAGAATTTAGTCCAGACTATAGACTAGACTTTAGTCCAGACTATAGACTAGACCATAGTCCAGTTTATAGACTAGACTATAGTCCAGTTTAAAGACTAGACTATGGGCTAGACTATAGTCTAAGCTATAGTCCAGACTATAGGCTAGACTATAGTCTAAGCTATAGTCCAGACTATAGTCTTGACTATAGTCTAGACTATAGACTAGACTATAGACTAGAGTATAGTCCAGACTATACACTAAACTATAAGTTAAACTTTAGTAGCCATATCGTCAAATTTTCAATACAAAATCTTAATTTGAAATCTAATTTATATTTATTCAAAATTTTGATTTAATTCTAAATGTATTAAAAAATATATTTTGTAAATAAACTTAACCTTTTAACACCCCTTAAGCATAAATAAACAAAACAATAGAAATATTAAACAGCGATTAATTTAAACTATTTCAAACACACATTTCATTCATAAATATACATATGAATGTATGACGCAACAAAATAGGCCTCTGGTCGGATCAACAACCAACCAGCCGGCCGGCTTTATTTTCAAAGTGAAGATAAGAATATTGCACCCAATTTTTTAAAATCCCATGATTTAAGCAAGAGCTCACGAAGAAAGTTCTTAAGTTAAGCCTGAAAGCAAGAGTATCTTATCAGTGAGTATAATGAAGATCACTCTCTAAGAATGATCTTCTCTCTTGCTCTCTTTTCTGTAGTACTTTGCTCATACGCACTGTGTGACAATCAATTTTAATTACTCTACTTGCGCTGAATATTGAAATAATTTTTATGCTGAATTCATGTTTTCATTTAAAATAGTTTCTATTGTTCTATGTTTTTTTTTCTATGATTTTTTTTTCGTATTCTTGCACCAAAGAAGACCATAAGAAAACTATAAATACCGAAGTCAAGCTTAGAATTTTTACAGTTTTAATACATTTTTAATACATTCAACAACTCGGAAAAAAATAAGGAAAACGGTTCGGTTAAGTGAAATAGTGAAAAAAGTGAAGTGCAAGTGTTTCAAGTGGCAAAAAAAAAAAACATGAATGAGTTTTGAGTGAGAATTTTTGAAAGTGAACAAACAGGATCAAAAGTAAGCAAAAAGATAAGAGAAAGAGATTTTGAAAAAAAATAAATAAAATATTTTAAGAACTAAGAAATCAGAAATGAACAAAAATGAAAAAATAAAAAAAAAATTTTGAAAATCTTATGTTTTTAAAAAATAAAAAAAAATATTGCAGAAAATTTTGCGTTTTTGAAAAAATAAAAAAAAAAATTGAAATTTAACCTCTTCTTGTCTATGTCTAGCCTCTTGAGATTCTATTAAAGTTCCGTCTATATGTCACAGTTTTTCTTTTAATTTCTGCTGCATTCTGTTACACAATTGTCATTCATAATTAATTTCACATATATTTTGTCTTCAGTGCCAACAGGAAATAAATTTTTTATAAAACTTTATAATTAATGATTGAAAAGCACATTTTTTTTTCTTTTAATACTTTTGTTTGTGTTTTATTTAGTCAAAAATTCAATGATAAGAAATACTCCTATTTGTTTTAATGCGTGTCTCTGAAACTATACAAAATTGTTTAATCAAAAATATATAGTGAACTCTAACATTTGGTTTAGAAAAAAAACTAAGACAATTTGAAATTTAAAAGAAGTGATTAAACTAAGAAGTGATTAAACAGAGACGTATAAAAATTTATAGACAAAAAACATGTTCAATGCAAAAGAAAAATGCAGTTTTAATTAAAAATGTTAAGACCGTTTGTAAGAAAAGTGTTTTGATTTCAGAATATGTTAACTAATAAAATTAAAACAGCATTTGATTAAACCAAAATATCTGAACTAGAACAAAACCAGAACAGAACTAGAACAGAACTAGAACAGAACTAGAACAGAACTAGAACAGAACAGAACTAGAACAGAACTAGAACAGAACTAGAACAGAACTAGAACAGAACTAGAACAGACTAGAACAGAACTAGAACAGAACTAGAACAGAACTAGAACAGAACTAGAACAGAACTAGAACAGAACTAGAACAGAACTAGAACAGAACTAGAAACAGAACTAGAAAACAGAACTAGAACAGAACTAGAACAGAACAGAAACTAGAACAGAACTGAAAACTAGAACAGAACTAGAACAGAACTAGACAGACTAGAACAGAACTAGAACAGAAACTAGAACAGAACTAGAACAGAACTAGAACAGAACTAGAACAGAACTAGAACAGAACTAGAACAGAACATAGAACAGAAGAACTAGAACAGAACTAGAACAGAACTAGAACAGAACTAGAACAGAACTAGAACAGAACTAGAACAGAACTAGAACAGAACTAGAAACAAACTAGAACAGAACTAGAACAGAACTAGAACAGAAACTAGAACAGAACTAGAACAGAACTAGAACAGAACTAGAACAGAACTAGAACAGAACTAGAACAGAACTAGAACAGAACTAGAACAGAACTAGAACAGAACTAGAACAGAACTAGAACAGAACTAGAACAGAACTAGAACAGAACTAGAACAGAACTAGAACAGAACTAGAACAGAACTAGAACAGAACTAGAACAGAACTAGAACAGAACTAGAACAGAACTAGAACAGAACTAGAACAGAACTAGAACAGAACTAGAACAGAACTAGAACAGAACTAGAACAGAACTAGAACAGAACTAGAACAGAACTAGAACAGAACTAGAACAGAACTAGAACAGAACTAGAACAGAACTAGAACAGAACTAGAACAGAACTAGAACAGAACTAGAACAGAACTAGAACAGAACTAGAACAGAACTAGAACAGAACTAGAACAGAACTAGAACAGAACTAGAACAGAACTAGAACAGAACTAGAACAGAACTAGAACAGAACTAGAACAGAACTAGAACAGAACTAGAACAGAACTAGAACAGAACTAGAACAGAACTAGAACATAACAGAACTAGAACAGAACATAACTAACAGAACTAGAACAGAACTAGAACAGAACTAGAACAGAACTAGAAACAGAACTAGAACAGAACTAGAACAGAACTAGAACAGAACTAGAACAGAACTAGAACAGAACTAGAACAGAACTAGAACAGAACTAGAAAGAACTAGAACAGAACTAGAACGAACTAGAACAGAACTAGAACAGAACTAGAACAGAACTAGAACAGACTAGAACAGAACTAGAACAGAACTAGAACAGAACTAGAACAGAACTAGAACAGAACTAGAACAGAACTAGAACAGAACTAGAACAGAACTAGAACAGAACTAGAACAGAACTAGAACAACTAGAACAGAACTAGAACAGAACTAGAACAGAATAGAACTAGAACTAGAACAGAACAGAACTAGAACTACAGAACTAGAACAGAACTAGAACAGAACTAGAAACAGAAATAGAACAGAACTAGAACAGAACTAGAACAGAACTAGAACACTAGAACAGACTAGAACTAGAACTAGAACAGAACTAGAACAGAACTAGAACAGAACTAGAACAGAACTAGAACAGAACTAGAACAGAACTAGAACAGAACTAGAACAGAACTAGAACAGAACTAGAACAGAACTAGAACAGAACTAGAACAGAACTAGAACAAACTAGAACAGAACTAGAACAGAACTAAAAACAGAACTAGAACAGAACTAGAACAGAACTAGAACAGAACTAGAACAGAACTAGAACTAAACTAGAACTACTAGAACAGAACTAGACACTAGAACTGAACTAGAACTGAACTAGAACTGAACTAGAACTGAACTAGAACTGAACTAGAACTGAACTAGAACTAAACTAGAACGGAACTAGAACTGAACTAGAACTGAACTAGAACTGAACTAGAACTGAACTAGAACTGAACTAGAACTAAACTAGAACTGAACTAGATCTGAACTAGAACTGAACTAGAAACTGAACTACTGAACTAGAACTGAACTAGAACTGAACTAGAACTGAACTAGAACTGAACTAGAACTGAACTAGAACTGAACTAGAACTGAACTAGAACTGAACTAGAACTGAACTAGAACTGAACTAGAACTGAACTAGAACTGAACTAGAACTGAACTAGAACTGAACTAGAACTGAACTAGAACTGAACTAGAACTGAACTAGAACTGAACTAGAACTGAACTAGAACTGAACTAGAACTGAACTAGAACTGAACTAGAACTGAACTAGAACTGAACTAGAACTGAACTAGAACTGAACTAGAACTGAACTAGAACTGAACTAGAACTGAACTAGAACTGAACTAGAACTGAACTAGAACTGAACTAGAACTGAACTAGAACTGAACTAGAACTGAACTAGAACTGAACTAGAACTGAACTAGAACTAAACTAGAACAGAACTAGAACTGAACTAGAACTGAACTAGAACTGAACTAGAACAGTACTAAAACTGAACTACAACTGAACTTAACTAGAACTAAGGTCTGGAGGCTGGAAACTATAAAAGCTTTAGTTTAGAGATTATAGAGAAGAGAGGCAAACATTCTATATTCTAGAGACTATGTTCTTTCTAGAGACAATAAAAGCTATAGTTTAAACCTGCCCTCAATGTATTTATTTAACTACGTCTCTGCTTGTAATTTTCTTTAATAATACAATTAATTTGTATATTTAGTTCTTTTACTGCATTAATTCATTAATAAGATTTTTTCTTTCAAACATTTTTTATTTTTAATGTCTATTTTAATGATTTTGTTCTAATTTTATATTTATTTACAGATTATTCACTCATTACTTCAAAACTCATGCCTTAATGTATTCGCTGTTGTTGTTGTTTTTGTTCAATAATAATTTTTGTGTTCATTAATAAGAAAAACAAAAAATAAACGAAAACAAAAAAAAATTGCTTTAAACTAAAATGCATTTAAAACATTTAAAAATCTTTTGGTTGTTTATCACCGCCTGTGTTCTACTGCAAATTGTAACTGCCGCTGCCTCTGAGGCTGAAGATGCTAAAGTCAAGACAGGCAAACGTGTTAAACGCATTAAGAAACTAAAAACTCCCAAAAAGCTAGCGGAACGACCACAAGCTGAAGAACCTAAACCGGAAGTAGCAGACTTAGATGATTTGGAAAATTATGATTATAATAATTATGATGAAGGTGAGTTTTGATTTTACATTTCCCTGACTTAAATTAACAAGTAATGAATATTAATAAAAATTGCTATAAATAAATTTATGAGTAGTTTTAATAAAATAAATTTATGGTTTTTTAACTAGACTATGTAGAGATTCTTTAGCAATAAAGAAAAATCATTTATTTATATTTAGAATTTTTATTATTACTTTGTATTTAATGTTCTAAATGACCTTAATTTATAACAGACTTTAAAGCCGGCTAATGTTTTTTTTTAAGATTTTTCCGATAAATTAGCAAAACTTGAAACACTTTTAGGCTATTACCAACAAAAAACTGGGAATTACTTTTTTATAAATATAATTTTTTGTCATTTTATTACTTTAACATATTTTTCAATTAGTTTCAAATGGCGCTATCATCGTCATAGTCATCAACATTGTAATCATCATGGTGAGAATTCATGCATTCCCCTGTTGTACGCTTTGTTAGCGCCACCATCATCATCATTTTCCACATTTCTTTAGGCCACAGTATCAATTGATGTGCATTGTTTCTGATCGTCATGTTACAAATAAATGAAAAGCGTGTATTTTTCATGCCCATATGTATATGGGCTTAAGTGTGTGTGTGCTACTTGCTATAAATGTAAAGTGGTAGATGTGTGACCATTTTGTTTGCCCTACATCAATTATACAAATATTGTATTCTAGTTGTAACCATTCAAATTTATTTTAAATATACCAATGGGAATTCTAGTTCTAGTTCAGTTGTAGTTCAGTTCTAGTTCAGTTCTAGTTCTGTTCTAGTTCTAGTCAGTTCTAGTTCAGTTCTAGTTCAGTTCTAGTTCAGTTCTAGTTCAGTTCTAGTTCAGTTCTAGTTCAGTTCTAGTTCAGTTCTAGTTCAGTTCTAGTTCAGTTCTAGTTCAGTTCTAGTTCAGTTCTAGTTCAGTTCTAGTTCAGTTCTAGTTCAGTTCTAGTTCAGTTCTAGTTCAGTTCTAGTTCAGTTCTAGTTCAGTTCTAGTTCAGTTCTAGTTCAGTTCTAGTTCAGTTCTAGTTCAGTTCTAGTTCAGTTCTAGTTCAGTTCTAGTTCAGTTCTAGTTCAGTTCTAGTTCAGTTCTAGTTCAGTTCTAGTTCAGTTCTAGTTCAGTTCTAGTTCAGTTCTAGTTCAGTTCTAGTTCAGTTCTAGTTCAGTTCTAGTTCAGTTCTAGTTCAGTTCTAGTTCAGTTCTAGTTCAGTTCTAGTTCAGTTCTAGTTCAGTTCTAGTTCAGTTCTAGTTCAGTTCTAGTTCAGTTCTAGTTCAGTTCTAGTTCAGTTCTAGTTCAGTTCTAGTTCAGTTCTAGTTCAGTTCTAGTTCAGTTCTAGTTCAGTTCTAGTTCAGTTCTAGTTCTAGTTCAGTTCTAGTTCAGTTCTGGTTCAGTTCTAGTTCAGTTCTAGTTCAGTTCTAGTTCAGTTCTAGGTCAGTTCTAGTTCAGTTCTAGTTCTAGTTCAGTTCAATATTAGCCAAATGCTGGAGAATATATCAGACAGCAGAGTCCGCCGATTTAGTTCTAAGTAGTTAAGACCCAATATCGGCTAATATCTAGAACCTTAATCGAATATCTTTCAAAAACTCTATTGGCTATAGACTATGGTCTAGATCCAATATCGGCTATTGTCTAAAGACTATATTGGTTATTGTCTGGAGAATATGTCAGCTTTAATAGAGAGAAAATTCATGTATTTTATTATCTTGTCAACAGCAAATTGATGCTGATGGTTGACTAAAAGTCTAAGCAACACACAACATTAATTGAAAAACCATACATAGAGCTACAGGGGACTAACAAAGCAAAAACAAACATTAAGATTCGAATAGTTGACCTAGTGATAAATAGTAGAAATAAATAAATAGAACACGTCAGTGTGTGCATGAGCATTGTAGTAATTGTGACACAAAATAAATGTCTGATTTATGTCTGTATTTAATGGTCAATTGATGTAATTCTTATTTGTGTTTCAGATGTAGATACTGGCGCTGATGTGGAAAAGTATGAGACACATGAGGAAGGTAGTAAGTAGGGTGTGGAGTGAAATGTTTAACGTTTAACTTCAAAATCTTTTTTGTTTCCATTTAGCTGTTGAACCTTCAACTCCTCGCATCCGAGCTGCTGATAATGTTATAGCTGCCTTTTCCTGCCATTTCGAGGGTAATTGGTATCGTGAAAATGATGAGTTCACTAGTGAACGTGATGGTTGTGTTCATAATTGTGTGTGCTTTGAGGGTGAAGTAATTTGTCGGGCTCCAGCCGACTGTAAACCAAATGTTGGGATTGAGGATAGTCAGCTTCCTGAGGAAATTCCGGTAACTACAGCGAAACCTATGCCGCCAACTCCAACCCATCCACAAACACCGGCTTATAATCCTTATGATGGCGTTGTAAATGGTCCTAGAGGTGATCGTGGTTTTACTGGTGCCCAGGGACCTGCTGGTGAACCTGGCTATCCCGGTTCTCCCGGTAATCCAGGCATTCCCGGTAATCCTGGTCCACCTGGTCCCATACCTGATATGAGTTATTATCATCAACAATTAGCTGCTGAATATGCCAATACTGATAAAGGTCCTACCGCTCCTTTATATGCTGCTCCTCAATTTATACAAGCTACAGCAGGTCAACCTGGCCCTCGTGGTCCCCCTGGTAATATGGGTCCTTCTGGTCCTCAAGGCTTTCAAGGTATACGTGGTGAACCAGGTGAACCTGGTTTACAAGGTCCTCCGGGTCCAGTAGGACCACGTGGTTTACCTGGACCTCCTGGTAAAGATGGTACGCCGGGTGAAGATGGTGAGCCAGGTCTTCAAGGTTTAGCTGGTACTCCTGGTCCTCGTGGTTTGCCCGGTCTCCCTGGACAACCTGGTTTAAAGGGTCATCGCGGTTTTCCCGGTCTAGACGGTGCTAAGGGTGATCAAGGTGCTCCTGGTGAGAAAGGTTCCACAGGAGGTATGGGTCCAGTGGGCCCAGTTGGTGCTACTGTAAGTAATCTTCTTCAACGCACTTAACTATATAAAGTAATTAACATATTCCTTTAAAGGGTCCTGCTGGTCCCCGCGGTGAACGTGGTCGTGAAGGTGCTGCCGGTCAACCTGGTGCTCGTGGTTTAGATGGCAATCCTGGTACTCCTGGCCAACCTGGTGCTATTGGCAAACCTGGTCCTCCCGGTTTTCCTGGCATTCCTGGTGCTAAAGGTGATATGGGTCATATGGGTCCCAAAGGTGATCAAGGTTTGCAGGGTCCCCGTGGTGAAGCTGGTCGTCCTGGTGCTACTGGTGAAAATGGTTTGCCTGGTCCCGCCGGTAAAGATGGTATGCCTGGTGATAAAGGTTCTATGGGTGCTCCTGGTATGGCTGGTCCTCAAGGTTTTCCCGGTCCTCGTGGTCCCGATGGTTTGCCTGGTAGTCCTGGAGAGCCTGGTATTAAGGGTGCTCCCGGTCAACCCGGTGAAAGAGGTTACAAAGGTAAATTTAAATAATATGAAATATTAGAAATTGTTTACCATTTCTAATGATTTTAGGTGATCAGGGTATAAAAGGTGAATCTGGCCAGCCAGGTCCACGCGGTTTACCAGGCACTGTAGGTCCAGAAGGTAAACGCGGTAAACGTGGTATGCGTGGTCCAACTGGTCCTGCTGGACCAACTGGTGAACGCGGCTCTCCTGGGTTACCTGGTTTGCCAGGTCCTGATGGTCCCATTGGTCCCAAGGGTACTCCCGGTGATAGAGGCATTCAAGGTCCTGTAGGCGATAAAGGCAGTCCTGGTGATATTGGTCCTCCTGGTGTACCCGGTCTGCAAGGTCTACGTGGTTTACCTGGACGTGTGGGTCCTGCTGGTCGTCAGGGAGCTCCTGGTGAACGTGGTATCCCAGGTGCTGATGGCAAACCGGGTGACCAAGGTCCTCAAGGTTTACAGGGTCTACCCGGTCCAATGGGTATGCCTGGTGATAAAGGTATTCCTGGTGAAAATGGCAAAACTGGAGAACCCGGTGCTCAGGGACCACCTGGTCCTCGTGGTGATAATGGCAAAGATGGTTTACCGGGTGCCCAGGGTCCACCTGGTCCTTCTGGTCAAGATGGTGCTAGAGGTGAACCTGGTCCTACTGGTCCTAGAGGTTTCCAAGGTTTACCTGGTGTAGCAGGAAGTCCCGGTGCTCCTGGTAAAGATGGTGCTCAAGGTCCACCTGGACCACAAGGTCCTTTGGGTCCTGTGGGTTTGAGAGGAGAACGTGGTTATCCCGGAGAAAGAGGTTCTATTGGTCAACCCGGTACACCTGGCGAAAGAGGAGAACCTGGCAACCCAGGTCATGATGGACCACCGGTAATTAAATATGTTTATATAATTAAATCTTTGTTGTTATTAACCAACATAATTTCAGGGCGCTCCAGGTAAACCAGGCGATAAAGGTCACATGGGTGCCCCTGGTATGATGGGTATGCCTGGTCATAAAGGTCTCCCTGGTCCGGCTGGTGTTAAAGGTGAACGTGGTAGTCCTGGTCAAATGGGCCCTGAAGGTCCTTCGGGTCGTCCTGGTGATCGTGGTCCTCAAGGTAATGTTGGTCCTCCTGGCGCTCCTGGTGAAACTGGTGAAAGAGGTGAACCTGGTAATCCAGGTACTCCCGGTGAACAAGGTGCTAATGGTGTGCCCGGCGAGAGAGGTCCAATTGGTCCTGCTGGTCCTCCTGGATTCCCTGGAGCTCCTGGCTTAGCTGGTCTACCCGGCGCTAAAGGTGATCGTGGTTTGATGGGCATTAAGGGTGAACAAGGCATTCCTGGTCCTCATGGTAATCCTGGCGAACAAGGTTTACCCGGTCCTATAGGCTTAACTGGACCAAAGGGTGCTCGTGGTGAAACTGGTCTAAGAGGAGAACCCGGCTTAAGTGGTCTACCAGGACGTCCCGGTGATGCGGGTCCAGTGGTAAGTAGTTTTGAAGAAAATTCTTAAAATATGAAATTTTTACTATTATGACATTTTTAGGGTCAACCTGGTAGCCCCGGTTTACCTGGTGTAGCTGGTCAACCTGGTCTTAAAGGAAACCCAGGAGAAGCAGGACGTCCCGGTATGCCTGGCAATCCTGGCTTACAAGGACCTCCCGGATTAGAAGGACAAAAAGGTGAAACTGGTAGTGATGGTCCTGCAGGTCCTCCTGGGCCTCAAGGACCTCAAGGTCCTCATGGTGATAGAGGTATGCCGGGATTACCTGGACCACCAGGTGCTGCTGGCTTAAGAGGTTTGAGAGGTGCACCTGGAGAACCCGGACAACAAGGAAAACCTGGAAAAGAAGGCGCTCCCGGTCCTCAAGGCATAGCTGGTCCTAGTGGCAATCCTGGTCCGATAGGCGAACAAGGTCCCGAGGGTCCTCCCGGCAAAGCAGGTCCTCCTGGTATTGCTGGACGTCCAGGAGATAAAGGTCCTCCAGGTCAACAAGGTAATCAGGGTCCTGCCGGTAATCCAGGTCTTCCGGGTCCTCCAGGTCCTATGGGTCCAATGGGTCCTCTGGGAGAACGTGGTCCTAAGGGTGAGACAGGCTTACCGGGTGTAGAAGGTCCCATGGGCTTAAGAGGCAAAGCTGGTCCTCCCGGCCCCGAAGGTGTTAAAGGTGAAACCGGTGAACCGGGTCCCAAAGGTATTAAAGGTCACAGAGGCTTAATAGGTTTACAAGGTATGCCTGGTGCACCAGGTCTAAAGGGTGATACTGGTCTTCCCGGAGTACCAGGAGCTCCAGGAAAACCCGGCGAAATGGGCATGAGAGGTCCCCAGGGAAGAGATGGTAATCCAGGACCAGCAGGTCAAGCAGGTCCACCCGGCCCCAGAGGTTATAACGGCAATGATGGCAAACCAGGTCCCATGGGTCCAGCTGGTCCTCCAGGACCGCCAGGTCCACCCGGCGAAACTTTGGGCTATGATGTAGCGGCCTTAACAGCCTTACTAAATCAGGGACAAACCAAGGGTGTAGATGTTTTAGGCGACCAACCTATGCTCGATCAATTTGGTGAAGGTTTAACCGATGAAGAGAAACACGCTTTGGTTTTGAAGGCCTACGAGCATGTAAAGGCCTCTTTCATACGCTTAACTCGACCAAATGGCCAACAATCAGCACCAGCTAAAACTTGCCGTGACCTATTTGCTGCCTATCCCGAATACAATTCTGGAGAATATTGGATTGATCCTAATGATGGTGATCCACAAGATGCTATTCTAGTGTATTGTGAAAAGGAAAGACGTGCCACCTGTATTCGACCTCAACCCAAACAGACTAAGGTAATTAGCTATAAAGGAATGGAAGAGGAGGCGTGGTTAAGCGAGATGCCATCAGGCATGAAAATCCACTATAAAACAGATTCCTATCAAATGGGCTTCCTACAATTGATGTCAGCCAAGGCCACTCAGCAAATAACATTCCATTGTAAGAACACTGTGGCCTACAAGGACGAGGAGAAGGATACCTTAAGGTTGGTTATTGAATATTGAAATACAAGTTTTGTATTTTAAGGTGATTGATATTTTTGCAGAAATGGTTTGAAATTGTTATCGTGGAATGATGCTGAACTAACAGCCGATGGCCCTCAACGTTTGCGATATGAAGCTGTTGAAGATGGTTGCAGAGTAAGTTTAATATGGAACAGACTAGACAATAGACTAGACTATAGACTAGTCTATAGACTTGACTATAGGCTAGACTATAGACTAGACTATAGACTAGACTATAGACTAGACTATAGTCTAGACTATAGACTAGACAATAGACTAGTCTATAGACTAAACTATAGAATAGACTATAGGCTAGTCTATACACTAGACTATAGACTAGACTACAGACTAGACTACAGAGTAGACTATAGACTAGACTAAAGACTAGACTATAGACTAGACTACAGGTTAGACTATAGACTAGACTACAGACTAGACTATAGACTAGTATATAGACAATAATACAGACTAGACAATAGACTAGACTACAGAGTAGACTATTGACTAAACCATAGACTAGACTACAGCGTAGACTATAGACTAGACTACAGACTAGACTATACTAGACTATAGAATAGACCATAGACTAGACTATAGACTAGCCTATTGACTAGCCTATTGACCAGACTATGGACTAGACTATAGATTATACTATAGACTAGACTATAGACTAGACTACAGACTAGACTAGACCACAGACTAGACTATGAACTAGACTATAGACTAGACTATAGACTAGACTATAGACTAGTCTATAGACCAGAATATAGACTAGACTATAGACTAGACTATAGACTAGACTATAGACTAGACTATAGACTAGACTATAGACTAGACTACAGACTAGACTATAGACTAGACTAGACTAAACTATAGACTAGACTATAGACTAGACTATAGACTAGACTATAGACTAGACTATAGACTAGACTATAGACTAGACTATAGACTAGACTATAGACTAGACTATAGACTAGACTATAGACTAGACTATAGACTAGACTATAGACTAGACTATAGACTAGACTATAGACTAGACTAAAGACTAGACTATACACTAGACTATAGACTAGACTATAGACTAGACTAAAGACTAGACTATACACTAGACTATAGATTAGACTATAGACTAGACTATAGACTAGACTATAGACTAGACTATAGACTAGCCTATAGACTAGACTATAGACTAGACTATAGACTAGACTATAGACTAGACTATAGACTAGCCTATAGACTAGACTATAGACTAGACTATAGACTAGACTATAGACTCGACTACAGACTAGACTACAGACTAGACTAGACTACAAACTAGACTATAAACTAGACTATAGAATAGACTATAGACTAGACTATAGACCAGACTGTAGACTATAGACTAGACTATAGACTAGACTATAGACTAGACTATAGACTAGACTATAGACTAGACTATAGACTAGACTATAGACTAGACTATAGACTAGACTATAGACTAGACTATAGACTAGACTAAAGACTAGACTATAGACTAGACTAAAGACTAGACTATAGACTAGACTATAGACTAGACTATAGACTAGACTACAGACTAGACTAAAGACTAGACTATAGACTAGACTATAGACTAGACTATGGACTAGACTATAGACTAGACTATAGACTAGACTATAGACTAGACTATAGACTAGACTATAGACTAGACTATAGACTAGACTATAGACTAGACTATAGACTAGACTATAGACTAGACTATAGACTAGACTATAGACTAGACTAGAAACTAGACTATAGACTAGACTATAGGCTAGACTATAGACTAGACTATAGACTAAACTGTAGACTAGACTATAGACTAGACTATAGACTAAACTAGACTAGACTAGACTAGACTATAGACTAGACTATAGACTAGACTATAGACTAGACTATAGACTAGACTATAGACTAGACTATAGACTAGACTATAGACTAGACTATAGACTAGACTATAGACTAGACTATAGACTAAACTATAGACTAGACTATAGACTAGACTATAGACTAGACTATAGACTAGACTATAGACTAGACTATAGACTAGACTATAGACTAGACTATAGACTAGACTATAGACTAGACTATAGACTAGACTATAGACTAGACTATAGACTAGACTATAGACTAGACTATAGACTAGGACTAGACTAGACTATAGACTAGACTATAGACTATAGACTAGACTATAGACTAGACTATAGACTAGACTATAGACTAGACGATAGACTAGACTATAGACTAGACTATGACTAGACTATAGACTAGACTATAGACTAGACTATAGACTAGACTATAGACTAGACTATAGACTAGACTATAGACTAGACTATAGACTAGACTATAGACTAGACTAAGACTACTAGACTAGAAACTACTATAGACTAGACTTTAGACTAGACTTTAGACTAGACTATAGACTAGACTATAGACTAGACTATAGACTAGACCATAGACTAGACTATAGACTTGTCTACTTACTAAACTATAGACTTGTCTACTTACTAAACTATAGACTATATTATAGCTTAATATATTTAAAAATATTGTTATTCTTTTCGTATTTCCAGAAACGTTCTAATAGCTGGAATAAATCCGTTCTAACCTATACCACCGAAAAATCCCAACGTTTGCCGATTGTCGATATAGCGGTACGCGATGTCCGTGATGCAAATCAAGAATTCCGCATTGAGTTAGGAGCAGCTTGTTTCTATTAGAGGCTTTTTAAAATTTTTGTTTTAAATAAAACAAAATACTTAATTACATTTTAATTAAATTAGTTTAGGAATGATATTTTTACACAATCTCTCTCAAACTCTTAATCTCTTTTAATCGATTTCTCTCTCTCAGCGAACGACCAAATAATATAACAAATTTTTTAAATTAGTTAATTTTAAATTAATAAATGCTTGTAAATTTTAATTTTAAGACAAAATATTTTTGGTATACACAGAGTTATTTAAGATTTAAATTTTTTTAGATTTATAGTTAAAAAATAAGTTAGTTTATATTTAGAAAAAAATATTAAATGAACAACAATAAAGCAACTTTTAAGCATAAAAATATCGATTGTATCATGAAGTTTTTTTAGTATACAGTGGGATCAAAATAATTTTGAAATCAAAATAAAGATGAGATTAACTATTTAGATGTGAATAAAGATTCTAGACTAAAGTCCCAAATTGTCCTTCATTGTCCCACTGTGTGCAATAAATAATAATAAAAATGTATTGTTTTTAGAACTTTAGAATATTGACATAAAAACTTTGAAAGTTTTTTTATAAAAAAATATGCAACAACAATATCATTAACATGAAAGCAATTTTATACCAAATGGCCTACAGCAACGTATTAGCAGAAGGATGGGGAGAAACAGGAGAATTATGTGGATGTCTGTATGGATGCTCTTATAACAAACAAACCGAAACAGAAAAGGCAAAACATGAACAAGATTTTAAAGGTGCTTAAAGGGTGTGTGCATATAATGAGAACAATTGAATAAGTGGGTATTAGGCAGGTCCTTAAAGGGACTATAGACTAGACTATAGACTAGACTATAGACTAGACTATACACTAGACTATCAACTAGACTATAGACTAGACTATAGACTAGACTATAGACTAGACTATAGGCTAGACTATAGACTAGACTATAGACGAGACTATTAGACTAGACTATAGACTAGACTATAGACTAGACTATAGACTAGAACACTATAGACTAGACTATAGACTTACTATAGACTAGACTATAGACTAGACTATAGACTAGACTATAGACTAGACTATAGACTAGACTATAGACTAGACTAATAGACTCTAGACTATAGACTAGACTATAGAACTAGACTATAGACTATATAGACTAGACTATAGACTAGACTATAGACTAGACTATAGAATAGACTATAGACTAGACTATAGACTAGACTATAGACTAGACTATAGACTAGACTATAGACTTGACTATAGACTAGACTATAGACTAGACTATAGACTAGACTATAGACTAGACTATAGACTAGACTATAGACTAGACTATAGACTAGACTATAGACTAGACTATAGACTAGACTATAGACTAGACTATAGACTAGACTATAGACTAAACTATAGACTAGACTATAGACTAGACTATAGACTAGACTATAGACTAGACTATAGACTAGACTATAGACTAGACTATAGACTAGACTATAGACTAGACTATAGACTAGACTATAGACTAGACTATAGACTAGACTATACTAGACTATAGACTAGACTATAGACTAGACTATAGACTAGACTATAGACTAGACTATAGACTAGACTATAGACTAGACTATAGACTAGACTATAGACTAGACTATAGACTAGACTATAGACTAGACTATAGACTAGACTATAGACTAGACTATAGACTAGACTATAGACTAGACTATAGACTAGACTATAGACTAGACTATAGACTAGACTATAGACTAGACTATAGACTACTATAGACTAGACTATAGACTAGACTATAGACTAGACTATAGACTAGACTATAGACTAGACTATAGACTAGACTATAGACTAGACTATAGACTAGACTATAGACTAGACTATAGACTAGACTATAGACTAGACTATAGACTAGACTATAGACTAGACTATAGACTAGACTATAGACTAGACTATAGACTAGACTATAGACTAGACTATAGACTAGACTGACTATAGACTTGACTATAGACTAGACTAGACTAGACTATAGACTAGACTATAGACTTGACTAAAGACTAGACTATAGACTAGACTATAGACTAGACTATAGACTAGACTATAGACTAGACTATAGACTAGACTATAGACTAGACTATAGACTAGACTACAGACTACAGACTATAGACTACAGACTGTAGACTACAGTCTATAGACTAGACTATAGACTAGACTATGGACTAGACTATGGACTAGACTATAGACTAGACTAGACTATAGACTAGACTATAGACTAGACTAGACTAGACTAGACTAGACTAGACTAGACTAGACTAGACTAGACTAGACTAGACTAGACTAGACTAGACTAGACTAGACTAGACTAGACTAGACTAGACTAGACTAGACTACTAGACTAGACTAGACTAGACTAGACTACTACTAGACTAGACTAGACTAGACGATAGACTAGACTAGACTAGACTATAGACTAGACTATAGACTAGACTATAGACTAGACTATATACTAGACTATAGACTAAACTATTGACTAGACTGTGGACTAAATGATAGCCTAATCGATAGAATGTACTATAGACTACATTACGGACTAAACAGCAGACTTCTCTATTTCCCATGCAGGGTTTCTCTTAATATGTAATGTTTGCAAAATCTCTTAATTGCTGTTCTCTTTCAATAACAATAACAACCATTTGATTTACATACCTTAAGAATATTGTTCTTGTTCTGTTGCTTTTACAACTGATCTTGTTCGGACAGGCTCAATGATTCGATTTATTTGTTACAGCAAAACACTAACAACGAACGAAATACGACGCAAAGCAAAGAATTTTTTTACACAAAACCAATAAAGAAATGCAGATAAAAGGCAGCGCCGCCGCTGCATTTTAATTACGCACTTACATATTTGATCTCGAACATAACATATTTTTTTAAAAGACTAATTTTATTAAAATATTTCTTTTTACAAACACTATTTATTGAAATTTGATATAATTATATTTTAATTTTTTATAAAAAATTTTTTTAAATGAAGGATTTTAAAACTGACACTTTTATTTCTGATTCTCCTTATTTTATTGCACTTTTTTTTAATAAATAATGATCACTCCCGACATTTTCCGCCAACCGAACCGTTTTCAAAGAAATGCTGTATTAAACTAATTGCTTAATAATAAAATTAAAGCAAAAGTGTCAAAAATTCAAGTTGATCGATTGACAAAAACAAAAACAGCATCTTAATGAGTGAAAGTAGGAGCTCAATTTGAATTGAGAAAGTGTAAAGTTGAGAGAGCAACAAATGAAGAACGAAGGAGTAATAATAATTAAAGAAGCTTAATGTAAACAACATCAGAGAGAGGCAAAAGCTTCTTTTATAATTAGAGAAGCTTTTTACAACCCTTATAAAGACAACTAAAGATTAACCTATAGACAACTAGACTATAGACTAGACTATAGACTAGACTATAGACTAGACTATAGACTAGACTATAGACTAGACTATAGACTAGACTATAGACTAGACTATAGACTAGACTATAGACTAGACTATAGACTAGACTATAGACTAGACTATAGACTAGACTATAGACTAGACTATAGACTAGACTATAGACTAGACTATAGACTAGACTATAGACTAGACTATAGACTAGACTATAGACACTATAGACTAGACTATAGACTAGACTATAGACTAGACTATAGACTAGACTATAGACTAGACTATAGACTAGACTATAGACTAGACTATAGACTAGACTATAGACTAGACTATAGACTAGACTATAGACTAGACTATAGTCTAGACTATAGACTAGACTATAGACTAGACTATAGACTAGACTATAGACTAGACTATAGACTAGACTATAGACTAGACTATAGACTAGACTAGACTAGACTATAGACTAGACTATAGACTAGACTATAGACTATAGATTAGACTATAGACTAGACTATAGACTAGACTATAGACTAGACTATAGACTAGACTATAGACTAGACTATAGACTAGACTATAGACTAGACTATAGACTAGACTATAGACTAGACTATAGACTAGACTATAGACTACTATAGACTATAGACTAGATATACTAGACTATAGACTAGACTATAGACTAGACTATAGACTAGACTATAGACTAGACT